CTACAACGGGCCTGTGTTCGATGTGGCCTACAAAGCTCCCTTAGATATAGGATAATACAGCTGTGGTAAAATCAAAATTTTAAAATAATTCAGATTGTAATGTAATTGTGAAAGATAAAAATATTATTTATGGGTCTTGGAATCCCTCTTCTGCATTTGTTATTATGTCAAGTTAATTATTTTAATTATATATATAATTGAGTTTAAATGAATGTACAGCTTTAACTCTGTGGATAATCCATGCTAAATATTCAATGCATAGCCTCCACTGTACACACTACTGGTATTTCTGCATGCTGGTGTTATTCAAGGCTCAGTTTATTCAAACGATTTCTAGATCTACAAGAGAAGTGAAGAGAATTTTTTCTGAAACCGTGGTCCACACAGAGTACTGTTTCCTGTAAGTCTTGTCAATTCAGGGCATCAAAACTGCGATGTGTGGTCCTGTATTTTGTTCGACCACACTGTTTCAAGTGCAGTAGTTATGCCTTATTTAAGGTACCATTGTTGCTTCTGATCGGTAACAATGATGGACTGAATGGGTAAGTGTATTCAGGCGAGAAGCGATGGCCCAAGAAGGAGCGAAAGTTAAAAAAATCACTATAAATGCTAGAAAATGTGTGAGGTCTGGTTGGTCCCACGACGGCCTGGGTGATCGTAGTTGATAAGTGTAAATATATCTGATGGCGGCCTTTTATTTGACAGGCAAATGCTTAATGGTTGAAATATGCTACGAGGTGATATACGTACCTCTCTTGTAAAAGTTCTATGGCTTTTTGATGCACTTCGGGGTTAGTAACAAGGATGCGTAATTTGCCCATCCTGTGGCAAGTTTCATGTAATGCTCTGTTCATGACACAATGTCATTCCACATCAGACTACGATTTTCAAAAATTTTGTTGTATTTTACCTCTGTTTCTACACTTAAACAGGAATGAGAAATGTAATCTTAAACAATACGACATAGATTAATTTTATCAGCTGATACAGACAATCGTGTAGATACTTTTAGGTTATGTAATGTAAACACTGCACGTAAAGATAAAGACATCATACTGTAGTTGAATGTTAATTAGAAGGATCTATGAAATGTAAAAAAATTCTGTTCTATTCTGTTGCTGCCTAACATGTAGAGAGTGGCGAAATATAACATTTTGCTTAGATGCTTTCAATCAGACATTTCAATAAAAAGAGCCATGACTAAATTTCTAATTCGTGAACTTTTTCGTTTAAGTTGGATAGTAGTTACCGTTTTTATCGACTAAGTAGTTGGCAGTGCCTGCAACCGCCAAATCGTTTTGTAATATGTCTGCCACATCTAGATGGCAGTACAATATGTGCGTGACGATGTATGTAAATCAGCCCTATCTTAGTTATCAGTGATCCTTGTATATACATACCTCTTCATTTCTTCTGCGGTGTGGATCATGATTTCCGTAAAATTCCGTAAGGTATCGCGAGAGGACGATCATTTAAAATCGTAGCAGCTATACATATCGTGTTTATTTTATGTGATTTTACGTCCTTCAAGAGCAAATCTTGGGTCGTGTATCGTTATTTGTTGGAACCGAAATTTGTTATCAGTTCTGTCCTATTAGTGACTCCTTGGACTGAAGTTGTCATCACCGAAATAAAATATATGTAATTAGAATCTGCTCCATGTAATAATTAGCTAGTTTAGCCTTGAAATGGGTTGTGAGTGTAAGAAAGGGACAGATGATATAAATAGACGTAATAAATTGGATTTCCGGTTCTCATGGCAGCAAATATCAAGCAAGACGGCTGTCATCTGGGTTGTTGTGTTGTACAGTCTGATGGAAGTTTTACTACTTGGCCCAGTTATCTATTATCTCATGTTGTCTGTTATAAGTAAAGGAAAGTAAAGTAAAGCTATCCCACTATGCGCCATGTAGGCGCTTGGGGGGGGAGAGGTGGTATAGCTCCTCCTCATTCTTGACCTTGGCACTAGATGGGGTTGAGTGGTCAGCATCATGCCCCAGCCATGCTTTACCCCCAGGAAAGGACCCCGGTACCCATTGGATAGGAGGCAGGGTGGGCCCCAGAGCCTGTCTGGACGCAGAGTCTAGAGGAAAATTCTCTGCCCCCGTTGAGGATCGAACCCTGGTCGTACAGTCCATAGCCAGTCACTATTCTGACTGAGCTATGCTGGCTTGTCTGTTATATGTAATTATATTTGTATTTTTAAATATTCACAGCCCTGTCTTGTATAGAGTGCAATTTGACTAACTGCATCCAATGACAATTTTTTAATGTGAATACATGTAATGTCTGTTTCTCCCATTTACTACAGATGATTAGCATTCTGCTGTACCAATTTGTGATTTCATAAGAGCATTGTTAACAAGAGTTAACTGAATTTTATCCCTGATGATGATTTAATTTAGGTATTGAAAATGGCTGTCTTCTAGGTTGTTGCAAAGTGTAGTCTTGTAGAAGTTTACTGATGATTCAGAGGTGCTTGCACCAAGCATCTCTTGAACTTGCAGACTACAAAGTGCAAGAGTCCAGAAGACAGACATCTTCATGCTGACTGCTATGAGAACCTGAAATCTCACTTAATACAGGTCTTGTTGGCAAAAATGTTCGTAACCAAACAATTTTGACTAATATTAACATTGAGTCTTTGATGAATTAAAGAAATAAGCTTGAAAAGTATGTTACAAATGAAGATTTTTCTTGTCAGAAAGAGTAACTCAGAATAGTTTCTGCTAATTAAATAATTAATAATACCTGTCAAAAGTAGATAGCTCGGTGGGCAGTGGAGTCAAGGGCAGTTCACTGGTACAGCGTGTATCGGGGCTGCAGTCACCACAACCGGCTTATAGTAAACACGCTTGCCTGGTATCACATGTTTTAGACTGGTTTCTGAATCAGTCTGTTTCGTGGTTATTGTTAATGAGTGTTCAATAATTTTGTGTGCTGACTATTTTTTGTTCTGATAATAACAATGTGCAAAGGAAGTGTATCATATTTACAGCAAATTACTTTTTCTCAATTGTCTTTGAGTGAAAAAAGTGATGTAAAAAATCATGGCCACACTCTTCCAGACTTACAAACAGTTAAAACATTGTCGAGCAGGTATGTGTTTTCTCCTGATGTAAATGTATTTTTCATTTATTTATAATGTTATGTGTTGAAAAACTATTCTCAGTTTTCTCCCTTGCGCAGCACTACCACTGTCCAGACTCATGAGCTGCCAGAAAATAATTAACTGTTAACAAATATTGTGTTAGCTGCATCTAAAAAATTTCCAATATCTCCAATTAGGATGACTGAACCTTTGATTTCAGTATATCAGTAATTATATAAAATTAAAACGAGTTCCTCACAGCAAAGAAACAAGCTGAGCTCCTAATTGATGTGTAATTCTGATAGGCTGGATCAGAATGTGTTGTCAACACTAACAGCTCTAGTATTTAAATTATTCAAAGTAAAGGAATTTTAGGTTATGTTTCCTTTGTCTTTACAACAGAGAACCGCAGTCTGGCTGTGTAATAATTTACTCATATTCAGTGTTTTTGCAAACAGGTTCTGTCTGTATGGTATGAGTTATTTTAAAAGACTCATTTTAGAAAGAAAGTGATTGCAATATGCAAAAATATGCATTCAGTGTTCCTTCTGATGATGGTTCAGGGGATGAAAATTAATTTCCTGAAGAATCTCTTGAATAAATTGCTAATAATTTAGAACTCATAATGAAGCTGAAGATCCAGTGGTCATTTGGCCAGATTATCCTTTCACCTTGTAGGTAGAAGGCTGAAAGTCAAAAATGATTGTTTTAATAGACAAAACAATTAACCAAGTGAGAAACTCCCCAGATCTGAGTCTTTCTTGAGAATCTGATAGTCCTTTAGCTGATCAAGAAATTCACTGCCTATTATGGAAACTGAAAGTTGCAAATTATAGAAATCTGCATTATACAAATTTCTTCAGCCTCCTGACATTTCATTGTTCTTAGGTTCCAGTATTTTTTGAAACCTCATAAATACAGAAAGAGGTACTTGTGGGTTATCGGGACACATCGCTTTAAAAATAGGTTAGGTTAGGTTAATGTGTGTGTGGATAAATGACATATACTTGAAAGTTATATTTTATTTCAATAAATGACAACTAACAACCTAACTTAACCTATTTTTAAAGCAATGTGTCCCAATAACCCACAAGTACCCAAAAAGAAATATTGAAGTGTTCAATTTACTACACTGGTGATCATGCAGTGAAAAGTTTTTGGCAATTTTCTTAATTATTTTATTTTGCAGAAACAGTATTTTTAAGACCCCAGGTTGTAAATTATTTAGTTTGAACATGAATCTGGTGTTGCGGGTGGTTATGTAGCTTGAGAACTTAAATAATTTTTGCTCAAGTATGAAATGTCCAGAAACACAATAAAGAATCAGTGTTGGCGTTTACATGTAGATGACTTTTAGTGTTTTAAGTGATTAGTGCTCTTTCTTGTATGAATGTGGTGAACCCCTGCTTACATGTCAGTCTTCATGTGTGTTGCAGGATTCGTGGAGTATCCACAGATCCACGTCTTCTTCCTCTGTTCCTCTACTTTGGTGTCATGATATCCAGTAGACATGGTTGTTAACACCATAAGGTTGGGACCTGGATACTGTGAGTTAGAATCAGATGTTTATTATTTTTATTAGTGTTGTTATAACCATTTTGTTTACAGCAATAATGTAGTTAAAACACTTGCATAATGCGAGAAATTTGGCTGAATGTTTTCTTAGTTTAGTGCGTGGGTGATTAATGTGTAAAAGTATGTATATCCTACCCCTTTGTCTTCTGATGTTAAAACTGAATGAAGTTGCCATAGTTTTATGAGATCACAATTTCACTGTCATCTTTTCTGATAAATAGCAAAGCACAGATTCTTTGTAGGACTTGCTGTTTTCTAGGGTGGGGCATGGCATATAAGGAGAGATATCCGCTTTATAACTGAATACATTTAAAAACTATGTTACCTACAGTATTTTTTCTGAAGAGCGGACATCAACATTGATAATATGAACACAAGTTTTTATGATTACATTTTACGTTCCAAAATAAAATCCATCACGGTGACAAGCAATGGCAATGTACTTTATAACATTCTGTATATTTTTGTCGTGTCATAAAATGTAACTATAATATCAAGGTCAGGCTGTTAGGTGAAGGTCATGCATAGGTCACACCAGTATCAGGCCAATGATATGCTGATTAGAGGCCTTAGAATTTGCATTGTCATTTCGAGGTAATTATAATGACATGGGACTTTCAGCCAAACCGTTGGCCTGGGAGAGGACAAAGTCCTGTCCAGGTTGGTCGTGGTTAGTTCAAATTAATGTGTTCAGGCCAAGGCTGTGCAAAATTGAGGCCTTTCAATGTCAATTTCAATTCATGGGCATTTCAAGTTCAGGCATTTTTATGATGAAGGGTAGGCCTGGGAATGTCAAGGTCATGCTAAGGTTATTCCATATAGTTTATTTGGAATTTAAAGTTAATTTCATGGTCAGCCAACTCCCAAAA